GACTAAATAGATATTATAAAATTAATTATATTTTAAAGAATTTCATTATCTTCTGTTGCTCCATCATAAAATAAATATTCAAGATGGTTATATAAACTTTTTTTTGTTGATCTGGTTTTACAGAAAACATTTTAATTTACGTAAAAAAAACTATCTAGTCAGCTGATAACTAGATAGTATAAAATAAAAATATTTATAAAAAATAAATTTATTTTAAATAGTAAGTTCATTGAACAACTTTTTAAAATAATTCTTCTCATACTCCTCAACAGTACAATTATTTTCAATTTTATTATGAGATAGATAAATTTTATCAATTAATTTCTCATAAAAATCAGATAGTTTAATTAAATATTCATCGGTATATGTCTCTACTTCTCTATCTTTTTTTCGTTGTCTTTCAATCATATTTTTGTTTGTAGATTTTAAATAAAGCACTTTGTTGATGTTTTCTATTTTAATTTCTTTTCTTTTTTTTCTAAAAAATCAATAATTTCTTTATTTTCAGTATTCATTAGTGTGAAAACTTCAGTATCAATATGTGTTTGATCAAGTATTACAAAATTGTATAAATCAATCATATTAATTTCTGCAGCTTGTTTTTTGTAAAAATTTAAAATTGTATATTGAAAAATAAAGTATTATTTTTTGGGTCTTTGCAAAAGAGTTTTAATTCATCATTGAAAATTAAAGATGCTTCAACTGGTCGATAAACTTTATATCCTTTTTCTTCTAAATAACTCTTAAATTTTTCTCCAAATATTGATTTTTCTACACCAATAGCTTCTATTAATACAATAATTTTTGGTTCTTTTGTCTTAATTCTTTTTCTTCTAACTACTTCATTAGGATATTTTCTCTTTAATTGTCTTAATATTTCTTGTTTGATTTTATATACATATTCATTTTCTACATCTTTAGAGATATTATTATATTCACTGTCAATTTTGATTTGATAACATTCTAATAAATATTCTTGTTTTAAAGAATATTCCTTGTTGTTGTTAATATTGTCAATTAACTTTTTTAATAAAATCTCAAGTTCAGTAATATGTTTTTTTATTTTAAAATCTATTTTAATTACAGAATTAAAATTCTATTCGGTAATTATTACTGAATAGATTTAATAAGGCCTATATTTACAATTACTACCTTTAATATATATAGATCCAATTCTACATTTTCTATCAATTTTTATATCAAACAAATATATAGTAGATTCATCAGAATCGATTTCAAGATTTTTGATTACCAAATCATTTAATTCAAATGAATTTTTTTGTAACTCTTTGTTTTCTAAATTTAATTTAGTTGCTTTGATTTTTTCAATCACATTATCTTTCGTACAAAGAATAATTTGTTGCTTTGAGTTACTTGCCTCATTACATGCATTTATAGAATAAGTAACAGTACCTTCTGCTTGTTTTGCTAATACTACAGAAAATTTTCAAATATCTTTTGAACCAACCTTATATTTTTCTGCTTTATTTTTAACCTGCATAATATAGTTCATCGATCTGTAATTACCAAATAAATCAATCCCACCATCACCCATAGGGGTAAATATTAAATCAACAAAATAACTTGTTCTTATCGCATTGTATTCAATTGAATTTTCTCGTAAAGTTTTAAAAGAAATAATTCAAGTTTATTCCCCTTTTGCTTTGGTATTAACTAAAAATAAATAAAAATATGAGCAAATTGTTGTTATTGCTTTAATCATTATTCCTAATACTAAGTACTTGTACTTTTTTCACAGAATTTTGTTATTAAAATCTATATAGGCAATTCTTTCTGCTATTCACAAATAAAATTCTAATACCAGAAAGCTTATTTCTACAGTGATAACTTACATTTTGATAAAAAAACTAAACAAAAATACTCAGTAAATAATTACCTTTTTATCATTCATTATTAAGATTATATAAATAAAATTCTACTCAGTTATTAACTGAATAGAATATTTATTTAATTTATTAAAATATTTTCATTCTTTTTAATTAAAAATTTATACTTTTTTTCTTTTCATTTTCTTCTTGTCATTTTTATTTACAATATTAAAAATCTACTCGGTTATAAACTGAGTAGAATAAATATTTATTAAATAAATAAATAAAATAAAATTAAAAATAAATTTATAATTCTCTTCTCCAATTTCCATATCTTTTATCATTTGCTAATCTTTTTTTGACTTCTTTTAGAGAATAAGATACTACTTCATTAATAGGACTCTCAACATGCTTTTCAGCAATACTACTAGTTTCAACACCATTTTCAATTTCTTCTACAGGCTCAGGCTCAAGTTTACAGCATCTTTTGTTTCTAATACTTCTGAACTTACTATTAATAGCATCAGAAATTTGATTATAACTTTTTTAATTGAACCAGTTACTTTAAGATTTGGTAATTCTTTTAATTCATAAGAAATCTATGAATCATTTTTTGTTGGTTCAGTTTGGACTAGAACTTGTTTACCAATAACTGAAAAATATATTGCAGTTTTAAATAAACAAGTATTTCTGCCAAAAAATTCTCTAAATCCTTCATAGAAACAAACAAATATAAGTTCTTTTATTTCAATAACTGCTTCTTCCAAAGCTTCTCTTCGAGCACATTCTTCAAATGTTTTATCTTTTTCTTTAGCTCCACCAGTTGCTTGAAGATAATTGTAAAAATCTTTTTGTGCATTATTTCTTTGACTAAGCCAAATTTTTTTATCACCAGAAATTAGCAAATATAGAGAAAATTCTCTAATTTGTTGTTCATATTTATCAATTGTAGCTTGATATTGTTGCATCAAATTAATATTAACTTCAATTTAACTTCTAATTTTCTTAATTACAGCATCAGCGTCTATAAAAAATCTACATTTTTCAATAGATTTTAATGTGTTGATAAACGTAAAATATTGAGGATTAAAACTATTTAAAATTTGATAATTTTCTTTTGCAGAGTTATATTCTTTTATATTTATAATTATATAAATAAAAATTTAATCGGTCTTAAAAAGACTAATTAAATAAAATTACAATTTTTTTCTAAACCTGATTTAAGAGTTTCTTTTTCTGAAAGCAAATCTTCAGAGTCATTATCCATAAAAATTTCTTGGTCTGTAAAGATAATATTATTGTCTTGAACAATACTATTTTGTTTAGTATATATTTAACTGGTTTATCTGCTACTTTTATTTCTTTTACATTTATATCACTTTCATAATTTGAAGGTTCAATTAGATATGATTCAGTATCTATAACTTCAGCATTTATAACTTCGATATCTGATACTTTAGTATCTGAATTATATCCTTCTTCAAGATATTAAATATATCAATCATGATCAGGATATTCTTCGTCTCAAATAGTTATTTAATTTTCTTTTCATGAGATATTAATGTTAGATAATCCTAATGATCTCCCCAATTTCCCAAAGGTATATTTTCTATACTAACAGATAATAATTCTTTTTTTTATTATATTGACATTTTAAACAATAATTAATATTATTAGATTTTGTTTGACAAGAACTTCTTTGAACAAGAATTGGAATATATATTAAATCTTTTTTTTTTGTAAGTTTCATATTTTGTAGAAAAATTATATGAAAAATTATATAGAAATTTTGATTTTAACTTTAACGAATAAAGATTATTTCGTAATATCATTTTGAATTACACAAAAAGAAATCTAATCGGTTTAATAACTGATTAGTTTTTTATTTAAAATAAAATATATAAAATAAAAATTTTTAATTAAATTTCAGTTTTTTCATCATTATTTTCTTCTTGAATTTCATTTTCAAGATCTTCAATAGATTGTTCTAAATGTTGAACAGCCATAATTGCACCCTGTTTAGGGCCTTTCAATACTCCTTCTCTAAATTTTCTTGTCTTAAAAAAATAAGAACTATTACGATTTTTTGGTAATTTTTTTTTAATAAGTTTATATTTATATATTCTAGCATTATAATAATCTTTTAATTGATGCATAAATGCTAGACGTTCTTCAATATTTGAAAATGCTCTTTCAAATGAGTTATTATCAACTTCACTCGAAAGCTTCCAATTTTTTAATTCAAGATAATATTCAATCTTCTCTTTGGTAGAGAGTTGTTTTTTTTATTTTTATTTGTTTTTGTTAAATCATTAGGACTTTCATTGTTTTCGATAACAATTTGTGTTGTTTTATTTCTTTTTTTTGACATAATGAATTGATTTCAAAATTAAATTTTTGTTTTTGTTACATAAAAAAAAATCTAGTTGGTCAATTGACTAACTAGATTAAATTTATTTAATAAAAATAATAAAAATAATATAAAAATTACTCGAAAATATTTTTCATATTAAATTTTAAAAATTTTGTTAAATACTAATAATAAAATATTATCAACTACTTTTGATAATATGAGATATGTTGTATCAATATTTTGAGATATCTTTTTTGCTTTTTTAATCAAATCAGATGATGCTAAATCTCTTTTAATTATATCTAACCACACATCATTAAATTCTTTAATATTAAATTGAAGAACTCTGCGATTAACTCGTGTTTCAAATTCGGTTGTTAATAAAATCTTAATTTTAGCATTAGGAAGTATATTGAATGTAGCATCTCAACCTACCACAATATATCCTTTTTGTTTTGTGATTTCTCGAATAACTTTGTTGATAGCTTCACGAATATTATTGTTATTTGAAATCTTAATTAATAATTCATTAGAAATTAATTCTTTACTATCAATTTGATTAACTTGAGTTAATATATTTTTTTCTTGTTGGTTTAACAACTATGAAATTATTCTAATTTCTTCTAAATTAGAAAAATTTAATGCTATGTAATAATAAAATAATCCACTATCAATAAATTGATAATTTAGTCTTTTTGCTAATGATTTGCCCATACTTGATTTGCCTAAAGCTGTTTGTCCATCAATTGCAATATTAATTTTTGTTATAACAAATAAAAATAAATAAAAGAATAATTAATAGAATAATAATATAATTAAATATAAGATAAAATTTAATAATAAAAAAAATATTTTCAATAATTAATTCAACAACTATTTTTACGTAATTAAAACTCTAATCAGTTCAATTAACTGATTAGATTAAATGTCTTTTTTTATTTTCAATTAAAAAAATAATTGAAACTAATTGTTGAAATTGTAATTCTGTTTTAATTTTTTTAAATCATAATATTGATAAAGATCTATTTCATTAAACAAAATTTTATATTTATCATAAAATTTTTGAGCTTCTTTATAATTTTTTTTGCAAAAAATATAATCATTTTTTAATTTTTCTGATTCTTTAACAAATTGTTTTATAAATTGCTCTATAATTACACAATTAAATTTCTAATCGGTTATCAACTGATTAAATATTTTATGATAAATAACTAAGTAGAATAATCTTCAATAATAATTGATAAATCAGTTTTAAAATTATGTAATTTTAATTTTATATTATATGCTGTTATTATTAATTGATAAATTTGTTATAGATTTAATATTTGTAAAATTGTAACCATTATTAATTTAATATTTATTAAAAAGTTTTTGATAAGTATTAGCAAATTCTTGTGCTTTTCCATATAACTTATCAGTTATTTGCTTTGTAAAAATATAATTAATCAATTGATTATAATCAGAGCAATATTGATGATAATAATAATTTGTATAAGCCATTTTTTGTTTTATATTAATAAAAACTTAGCCAGTATTAAACTAGCTAAGCATATTTATTAAATATAACAATAAAAAAATAAAAATTAAATAAATTCTAAATAAAGTTGAGAACAATGTGTTTCTAGATGATCTTAACCACAACAAGAACATTTTTTTTTTCTATTTATGGAATTATAATTATATTGTTGTATTTTTTGTTCATTTACAAAAAGAACTAATGATTTATTATGAATTTTTCTTTTACAAGAATGAATAATATCATTTATATTATTCTTATAATATTTACATTTAGCATATTGTGTAACTTTATCTGCTTGTTTTTTTGAGTTGGATATGTATATCCACAAATATATACACAATCGCATTTAATTTTTTTATATGCCGCACAACATTCATGTATTATTGTTTTATCACAATTCCAGCATCTTCCTTTATTTAATCTTTTTTTATAATAGTGTTTCATATTAATAGAATAAAGATCATTTGCATTTTGAAAAAAAGAATATTTATCTACTTGGGGATTTTGATCAAGATATATAGATATATTTTCAAAATCAAATATTTGATTTTTTGATACCAAATGTTGATTTTGTTGTTTATCTAGAAAGCTAAAAATATCTTCAATTGAAATTGCATCTGTATAACCAAACTTTTGAAGTAATTTTATTTATAAAAATAAATCTATTTTTTCTTATGTAGAAAAAAATCTACTCGGTTTTAGACTGAGCAGATGGTAATTGAGGATAATATTCTGGAGAAACAGGTTGATATTCTTTGATCTTTTCTAAATGACTATTTATATTTGTTTCTATTTCCTTAGCGATAAATACTTGATTTTCTTTTTATCTTTACGAAAGACTGTTTAAATTCACG